CCCTGCTGCGACACTTCCTGGTCACTCTGGAGATGCATTTCTGAAAGGAAAGAATGGATTTTTCAACCAGAATGAGACAGTGAAGATGATTTTTGGATTAACAACAGGGCACAGGGGAGGTGAGAAAGAAGCAATGGGAAAGATTCAAAATGAGTTTGTTAAAATGATGCAACACCAAGGCAATGTTAGGAGAATCTCCCTGCTAAGTTTCCTAGGTTTTACAGAGGTGGAAGTAATATCTTCCTCATACTGCTGAAGACTCCCTGTTTTGAATAGGTCCTCAATGCAGAGTTTTTCTAGTGGGTGGTAACAAATTGAAACAGAAATACTGAGATTTTTCCTCTGTATATAGTCCGTTTTTACTGGCGTATGTGAACTTGTGTAGTTGAGAACTTCGGTGTAGCATAGGCCCTTTCTTTCCCACTCTGTATTGTCTGCTTATACTGGTTAAAGGAAGAAAAGCTATTGTGAACATTAGAACATGCTGACATCTTTCATTTTAGGAGCTGGGCAAACAACTCAAGTGCAGGTATTATCCACCTAATACTCATCCAGTGACTGTGGATTCTATTTTGAATATTTCTTCAGATCAGATTGAAAGGAGGATAATATTGTCACTGTGTTCAACTGTGATTAAAATAACTAATTTTTTTCCCCCTCCTATATTTATGATTTGGAAATTCTTATTTTTTTATAATGCATGTACAAATTATTTCAGGTGTAAAAATCCTCATTTTTTTAGTCTATACCTATTAAAAATCTAAGTATTCTTGGAATTCTTCCAGTCTGCAGAGTCCATTAGAAACATGTCTATTTTCCATCCTTTTTTGTATGCCTATTTTTGGAGCTGCAATCAAAGGCACTCTTGCGTACCTTGAGTAGTAGGGAGAAGAGGGAGAGCGGTAAAGTGTTATGCTGGAACAGGAACAGATGCACTGAAGTACTTAACTCGTGAAAGTATGGTGGATTTGGAGACCTTGCTTAACATAGGGAAGTTGTATTTTCAAAACAACGTATCCAGACTTTCTCAAATGTAAATGTTTTTCTTGTGTTTTGGAAATGTAGGTAAATGTTATGGCCCAGTGTAGTTCTTATGTAATAGAAATGCTATCTCTTTTTTTTTTTTTTTTTTTTTTTTTTTTTTTCTGCATGTACCAATTTGGATCAGCATTTGCAGTTGTTTGTTGTGGGGTTTGATTTGTGAGCATAGAAGTAAGCATTCTCATTGCCACCATCTGTTGCGTATAGTTCTGTTTGAGTTAAGATGTTTTCTCACTAGTGCAGAATGACTGTGTTGATGTAAAGTCTTCCAAAACTTCTCCTGGAACTTCAATTTCTTTACAGTTCATGGAATCCCACTGCAGTTTTACAGACCAATATTGCATTTGTGGGCAGATCATCGCGTGTTTATGTGCATTGCTGGGGGAGGTGTAACAAGATCTTAAATCTTAAAACAAAAAAGTTAGTTGTTCATAGATTATCTTCCCAAACTGACTTTTATCTAAGAAAACTATTGACAAGTTTTCTATTCCCAACCATAGAACAGTTTGGGCTGGCAATGACCTTAAAAAACACCTGGTTCCAACATCTCTGCCATAGGCAGGGACATCTTCAACCAGATCAGGTTGCTCAGAGCCCCATCCAGGGTGGCCTTGAACAGTTCCAGGGAGGGGGCAACTACAGCTTCTTTGGCAGCCTCTCCAGAATGCTTGAATTGCTGCCTTCTGCCAGTTCCCCAGCTTTTCTGTTTGATGGTTTTCACATTAGTTGCCATCACTCCCAAAGCTGGGACATGATCTAACTGGGAGTTCACATGCTTTGACCTGATGGGTGCAAGCTGAAGCTGAAGCCAGCAGAGATGATGTTGCTGCCTGTTGGGTACATAGGCAGTTATGAAACCACTGGGCATTGTGTAAAAGAGTGAGCTGGAGTAACATCGGTGCTTGTGCTCAGTGTCCCTTTTGTTTCTTGATGTCTTAAGCTTCTGTGTAGAACTTCCAAGGCTTTTTATACCTTGCACTTGAATGCAGATCAAAAAGAGAAGACAGTAACCACTGAAACACCAGCTTCTCAACTTCATTTCTATACTATGTTACAGAGCAAGAGCGGGTACTTTTATTCTGTTCCATCCAAACTGGATAAAGCTGAATGTGCAGCCTTGATACATGCACGTATGTGTGCATATAACTATATTTTTGGTTATCAAAGGGTAGCAGGGTTTTTTGGTTTTTGTTTGGGTTTTTTTGTTGTTTGTTTTAATCCAAGTTTTGTATGTTATAGTCCTTTGTTTGCATTTACCCTTCATGTCTGTTGTCCTCTGGTTAGATTTCTGTAGCAATGTAATACTTCCTTTTATGTTGGAATTTTCTCTTGTTTAAAGTAGTAGGTTCCAGCCTGTTTACCATTTGCTTTGTTATTAAGTGACTGTACCGTGGGGAATGTCTGGGTTCAAAGTCGGTCTCTGAAAGCTTGAATTACCGGAAGGGAATTACTGACTGTGTAAGCATGTCCTTATTAGTTTAAAAATGAAATTAATGTTAAGTCTGTTTGCTTAGCTATACAGATTAACAGAAGGTACTGTTTCTTTTATTTTATAGTGGCGTTTATTTTCAACTGGATTGGATTTTGTTTATCCTTCTGTATAACAAATACCATAGCTGGAAGGTATGGTGCAATCTGTGGATTTGGTCTGTCCCTGATCAAATGGATTCTCATTGTACGGGTATGTTTCTTGATTCACGCTCTACACACTCTGTTTGTAGAACCAAACTATAACAATTTATTCAAGGATATATAATAATGGAATTAGAAATCAGTGTGTTAAATTCCAGTGCTTAACAGAGTGCCTAGAGTTTTCTTTGACTTCCACTTCAGTAGAGAATTTACTTGCTATATTTTCGTAGGTGCTTGCTAATGATGCTTAATCTGTTTTTATCTGATATAGCATTTATTATTCATCTGTCCACCAAAATAATGGCAGAATGCCTCATTCTTTGTACAAATATTTAAAAGCATACAAAAGTGGAGCAAGATCTATAAATGGCTCAACCTGTTGCAGGGGGAATCAGAAAAGACTTCTCCCTTGTATCTGATTCTTTTATTCACTGTAAGATACTTACTGAATCAAAACAAAATTGAATATGAAGTTAATCACATTTTTACCATCTTAGATGCTCAATTTCTTGATATTTTCACTGCAAGACTAGGTACTTTTCAGAAAGGTGTATTAACCAAATGGAAGTTACTTAGCTGACTAAACTACATGAAGCGTAATGCTTCTTTCTGAACTTGAATTCTACATGTCCACAAGACCCAACATTTAAAATCTCATCTCATCTAATGAAGAAAGAGGTCTTGGATAACTTAGTCATCTTTTATGCCCTGCCATCTCTGAATTATTCCTTGTGGGTTTTGTTTGTTTTTTTTTTTTTTTTTTTCCCCCGTATGTGTGCTAGTAACTTAACTTGATTTGGTCTTAGCACAATAGTACAAGGTGTGCAGAGAGAAGAGATTGCATGGTTCTTCCTGGACATGTCCTGCATCCTTCTTAGAGCTGAGGGTGTTTTTGGGGTGGGTTTTGTGTTTTGCTTGTTTTTCTGATTTTTTTCTTAAGGGCAGGGGAATGCTACAGGACCAGATGTGATTAGGGAGTATTTAGTTGGAATTCAGGGTTTGGGATGGAATTTATCTTAAGGGAGCAAGAAGACATGAGTTTTTCAACTGTGCATTTTTTGGGGATATTTTCAGCTTCCCTTGAGGCATACTAAACAGAGGGCAGAACTTGCTCATTGTCAGTTTTATAATTCCTATCTACTTGAAAAAGTGTTCATAACAAAACCAAATTTAATATATGTTAAACTTCCTTGAAGAGCTAATGTGTTCCAGACTATATTTCAGTTCTTGTATATAATCTCTCACTAATTCTAAAATACTAGAGCTGACCAATTCCAAAATGTGAAGATTATCATCTTCCTGTGTTGTTTCCCTTTATAGAGACAAGTGCAGAAAGCTCACAAGGTGTATGCCAACAATTTTGTTACACTGGTGACACACAAACATGCATGTGTGCACAAAATTGTTCAATTCCTTTGTTTCAGGCTCCTCTGAAGGCTTGTGCTGCCCTTTCTCACTTGGTCAGTGGTACAAAACTTTGTAGTGTGTAAGCAGTCTGAGTTCATATATGCTCCCTCTGCATCAGTTTTTACTGGAGAGAGTAGGAGGAAAAAAAAAAAAAAAAAAAAACCAAGTGTAATTCTGCTGTTGGGGAAATTCTGCAGTCATGGCTACTTCTGCCTAAAAAAAAAAATAATGTGAGAGTAATGCATATAGGCCACTATTTGATTGCTGGTTTTAGTAAATCTTTTCAATTCAATCAATTTCTAACCTTTAAAAAAAGTGTATTGGTATATATGTTTAGAGAATTGAAAAAACTGTCAGGTGAGATGAGATTAATAATGTTTTCAACTTCCTTGGAATTGAGTATTCATGTGATACTTTAATGAAGTGTCAAAATACAAAATGCTTACTCTGCTGAACATAGAAATGCTAGGGGTAATGTAAATACCTGTTCTTCAGTTCAACTTAGCAATTTTGTTTCTTGATATGTTTTTCTTGGATTGTTCATAGAAATGAATACAGCGCAGGATTAAACCTTTAAAGAATTTACATGATTTGGCTTTATTCTGGAGAAAACATGTGGATGTCAGTGCACAGTTACTTGAAGGAAAAAAAAACAACAAACCTACTAATATATATAGTGTTCTTTGGAATTTATCTGGTTGTGTGTGTGAAGACTCAGGCTGTTCTCTTTACCTTTTTTCTTTTTTTTTGTTTTTTTTGGAGCAAACTGAATTACGTGCCTGAACTATGTGATTTCTTGGTTGACACTACTGAAAGGTCCAAGAATTGGCAAATGAGCAGCACTGTGGCAGGTTGCAGTAAACATACTGAATGATAGTAGCATGGGAAGGACATGGAAAGCATGTAGAGCTACTAAATAGGTTATTTTATTCCTTCTGGCAACTTTTCACGCATCTCCCCATTCTTCTCATGTGAGTTTTGGAGACATTTGATTAGCCTTTTCATCAGTGAAGCATGCAGTCTGGAGTCTGGTAAAGGCACAGATACCTGTCTCCAGTACCATCACACCCTGCCCTCCAGCTGCCTCCCACATCACAGGGAGGACAAAACTGTCTACCATGGTCACTAACAGGAACAGTTGAAATGCCACTTCAAGGTTCATTTAGTTGCGTTCAGCTCACTGCTGGGAGCTGAATGCTGGTTGGAAAATGAAAAGACTTTAATGAGTTGGGGGTCTTTATGGGGCCGGTATTCTTGGCAGCGATTAACAGTAGGGGGTATACAGAAGGTCAAAAGCTCTTCTTTTGAGGGGTCAGCAGAACATCCCTGTCTGATAAGATTAAACTAATGTGGCTTTTGGTGTTAATATCTAAAGCAGCAGGCTGCTGTAATGTGTTTGGGATGGCAGGCATTGGGGGGAAAAAAAAGAAAATTGAGAGTGGCGATTCATTGTAATAGAGAATGTCAAATGATTCTGGCAAGTAGTGCAAGTTTGGATTTTTTTTATATATATATATACACTTTTTTTAGAGATTTTAAAATAAATTTGCCAAAGACCAGCTGACACTGGAAGTGTTGTGTCTTAAACTACTGCACAAATACCAGTTTTTCATTTTAGTTGAAAATATTGTTTTTATTTAAATTTGCTTTTTCCTCTGCGCTTTGTGTGTTTGCTTAGTGCATTAAGCGTGTCTTAGTCACCTGTCTTACTGCAACTAAGCCTTGTGTATGAATTTCAGTTTTCAGATTACTTTACTGGATATTTCAACGGACAGTACTGGCTTTGGTGGATATTTCTTGTACTTGGTAAGTGGTGATTGAAAACATTTGTGCTTAGACGTGGAAGTACTTAAAGATGAATCACGTCATTGTAAGTAAGAGTTTTGTAGCACATTTAGCTATGTGTTTTTCTTCAGCTGCTGATAGTCTTGTGTGTAGTTGTGAATACTATGGAAATAAAAATGTTATTGGTTACCATAGTGGCGTTACTGTGTGAACTGCAAACCATTCAAATAACCCTCAGCTCAAAAAATGTTCTACATACTTAATTATATGCATACCTGAGACCTGTAATTTGTGCTTTTTAAGCTGCTTCTACTGACCTAGAGGCACAGAACTGTGATGAAACTTCAGCTTTATATAGAGAACATAGCACAAGGTGATACCTCATACTTACATGTATAAACCTGTGCTAAATGTGTTAAATTTTAAGAAATGTGACTGATCCTAGGAAGGTGGATTCTGCTGTCTTGTACGCAGGTCACGAAGTGTCCTTTCCTAGTCCTTTGAAATGCACACTGCATCAGTAGTTTCTCAGTCAGAAGAGAGAATGCCTTCATGCTTTCTGATCACAGTGCTCCCATGATGTCAGCTTTCTCTTAAGAGGTCTGTGTGCCCCTGTTCAAAGCCTTACACGCATCAAACTCTGATCTTCTGTCTGGTTTTAATTAGGATATACCAAACCCCAAGCACTATACGTTTTTTTCCTGCTGTGGATTTTATGATTTGAATATGGAATCTGGAATTATTTTCTTTTATAGAAGTGCTTGCTGCTATCCATTTTATTTCCTAGCTCTGAAAGTGTAGTGAACTGTTGCTGGTTCAGTAGGTGGCACTCTTCCCTTTGAGACAATTGACTCAAATGGCTAACAGCAAATGTTAGAATGAAACCATGCATACATTTTAAAAAACAAATAAACAAAAAACCCAACCAAACATACACCTACAACAGGAAACAACCAACCCAACACTGAGATCCTGACTGTTTGTAACTCATTATTTATCTCACAAGAAATGCCAGAATAAAGTTTTACCTAAAACCTAATCTGTCTGCCTTTTAGTAAGGTTCGAGGGCATTCATCAGGCTTCTTGATACTCAGCTTGCTCTGCTGGTCACTTGGTTGCTTGAGATACACAGCCACTGCAGATGTTTAGTGACAGCACCAGTGCCTTCAACACTTCCATACTCTGTTTGAGGAGATTGCATTTAAGTAGCAAGTGAAATGACTCTTTACAGGTACCAAAATCTCCAGATAAACCTTTAATTTTTAAAACAAACCCTTGTGGTACCTGAACTTGGGGTATGACACTGTATTTACTTGGATGAAGATGGTGTGTTCTTCCCATGATGTTTTTCCCCCTGCATCTATGGCAAAAGCTGTGCATTTGTGCTTCCTCTTTTTCCTAGTCTTCTGCAGCACTAGTTCAGCTGGTAGCTCACTTAGATTTAGGACAGTGTTATCTTCAACCTTAGCTGTTTGAAGTTATGGTGTTTTTTTTTTTCCTTTAACTCACAAAGTTTATAATATGCCTTGGAATTAAAGGTACTGTGAGGCATGCAGAGTGCATCCAGCAGTCAGTGATCTCTTATCTTATGAATGTTTTGCATGAAATACACCAACAGTTTTTTTAAACTGATAAAGTAGATACACCAAGATTGCTAGAACACCATAGAAGGATTTAACCCAACAGAGCTACTTAGCAGGACGTGGGGAGTATTATCAAGTCAAGGGAGCTCTGCCAGACAGATCTGTATTTCATTGTTTTGGATAACTTTCCCATTGAGAGCACATGAAGCAATGTGTCCTGTGTCTCTTCAGGAGTGAATCAACTGAGTTGGATTCTTTCTTTTGCATAGTCCTTTGGACATATTTGAGCCCACCTGTTGCCATCTTCTCTCTTCTGGTGTTCACCTCTCTATTTCTGCTCCCTTCCCTTCTTTCAATGTCTGGAAAAAATCTGCTCACGCTTCACAGAAAAGCATAGTGGTCTACGTCCAAGGAGCTGTCATCTACAGTGGACAAATTGAAGACAGAGACAATTCTTATTTTTAAATTTAAATGTTAGCCAATGTTTCTTTTTGAGGAACACAATGGAAAGTGTTTTGGTGGTGTTGTGGGTTTTTTTTTTTTTTTTTTTTTTTTTTTTTTCTTTTTTTTTTTTTTCTTTCCTAAACAGAGAAATTTAAAATATGGGTTGAACTTGATCTGGTTTGTCAACATGTGCAATGCAGAACGTATGCTTCCAGGCACCTTAAGAGATGCCTGCCCACCTTTTGCTGTTTCAGCTACTTTTCAGTTGAATGTGGGACTGTCTCTTGGAATGCCTGGGTAGCAGCTTCTGTAGCAAACTTTTGGTCCAGATCTTAGTGCTTTCTTCTCTGTGCAGAATTCACCTTAATCACAGAAATGTGTCTGGCTTAGGTCAAAGTTCCGGTTGTTAACAGAGCGTTCTCTGTGTTGGAAGCTTTTTTATGTGTCTTAATGAGGCATCAGGTTAAAAAAGCAAAAAGAAAGTGAATAAAATGGAAACTTACAACTAAGAAGTATTTACAGAAGAAGTGAACATAGGGGAAAAAAAGTTTCAATTTGGAAACAGGAAGACAAAGTGCATCGCGTAGCAAAATATCAGTGTTAACCATAGAGATTGTTTATGAAGATATAAGGTGATGAAAAGGATAAAATCCTTTGCTAACCTAGTTAAGCTTCAGTTTAGGTTTTCGTATGAACTTTTGGAATCTTTATGCATGTGTACATACACAAGCATGTCCCTTCAGGGCACCCCGTGTGTGTTGAATGAGGAGAATTGCTCTCCAGGTTCCTGTTTCTCTCCACTGGACACAGAGAGGAGATTTCAACCCCTGCTGGCTCTGTGAACATTGTTTTTTATCTGTCCAGGATCCAACTGATCTCCTGGATCCAACTGATGAATGGATTAATCTGGTGAAGTTTACTTACTGGAGAAAAATGCACCAAATTGCTGTGCCAATCCTAAAATTATGTTCATCTACTACAGTGTATTTTTGGTTTGTTGCTAGAGCACTCTGTATTATCCGATCTTTCGGGTTGTGTCTGTTTATTTTCCCTGTTTTGACTTGCAGTGGAACTATGTATTTCTGAAGGTACATTTTGTGGTTCAGGTTGTTTTCTAACGCACCAGTAACTTACTTTAAGAATTCCACGTGAGAAGAATGTGCAGCGTGATTTCTTTTTTCTTCTTGTTATGTTCTTTCATGCAGTCTTTAGCGGATGGTACTTGAACCCCGGTTGAGTGTAAAATTTCTGAAAAGCCTTCCATAAGGCTGTATCCTAATATCACAAGGTAGAAGCAGATGATTTGCGTTTTGAATATGTGAATATGATGCATAAAGTCCTCACTTTCCTTAGTATAATCTATATTTAAAAAATATTTTAATAAGATGTACGATAAGGTGTACTTAGGTTGATATACTTAATTTTGTGCATTTTTCTGCACTTTCAGGACTCCTCCTGTTCTTCCGAGGCTTTGTTAATTATCTTAAAGTCAGAAATATGTCTGAAAGCATGGCAGCTGCTCACAGAACAAGATTTTTTTTCTTGTACTGAAGGTAAGCAATTTTTAGTGATAAGATTATCTCTCCCAGGAAAACTGAGAAGAGTGACATACTTACAATAAAAATAGTCAAAATTCTATCACAAAACAGAAGTCGCATGGTTTTTGAACATCTGTCAAGAATGTTGTATATACTCTACATGGACTTGGAAGTGTCTGAAGTCTCTTGAGGTCATGAAATTTGAAAGTAAATAATGCATCTGTGTTGCCTCCCATCTTCCCTGAAGCTAATGTTCAGTAACAAAAATTAAGAGAAACCTGTTGTTTTTCCTAACCAAGAAACGGTGTCTGCTGCCTGTCAGGATCCTGCCCTTTGTGTTGGAAAACTGGCTTTAGGAGTCAACCTGTTGTGAGCACGTTAGGAAGCACTAATCTGCCCGCATATTAAATCTGATTGACATGGGTCTGGACATGCGAACAATAGATGAGTATTGTCTCTCTTTACACGACTGGATTAAGACAGTCGTGTACAAGTATGATGGTTGTGTATGCAGCAGTGTGCTTTATATATCCTTTGGGTAGCTGACTAATCGGTCTGGCACACAGCCAGACTGTTCTGGTTTTAATAACTTTTTATCCATTCGGTGCATCTATTGGCCATCACTATGCAACTTAAATCAGGCGTCTCCATTTGTGTGCAACTTAAGCTGCTTGATAAGGTGATAAATTTAAGCCTAGAAATAAGTTCTGTAGCATTTGCACCGCTCTGCAGTTTACTTAAAATGCTTAAATACTGTATTTTGATTTAACTGAGAAGCTATGCTTGCTGTAATAGAATGGATTTTCATATCTTGGTTCTCCATGATTGGTCACAAGAATTGGTCTATTAACATAGCTAACTTATTTCTTCCTAGTTTGCCATCTTGCCAAAATTGTGTGGTAAATAAATAAGGTTTATACTGCCTTTTAGTAACCAGCCTAAATTGGCAACTGCATGGCAACGCTTCCTTTTTACAGTAGTTACACATCATCCCTTGTCTTAATAATGTGGTAACCTCTTCAGAATACTGAAATTTGTGGAGAGAGGCTGAAAATACCTGTTTCCTTTCAGTACAATAAAGTTTAAAAATACTGTTTCAAAAATAATTGTTAGGACTAACTGGTGCTTTAAAACCATAGCTTGATGAGAATAATGGAAGCATAGGATAATGTGGTCTGGGATTCTTTGCTCTCCTGCAGTTAAAATTCTGCTTTGACACAGAACACTATTTAATCTAACATTAACTGAAGTTAATGAGTTGTCTTATCTGAGTTCAGTGCTTTGAATTTTTCCTTTACTTGTAAGCATCGCTGAAATGCGTAGGCTGATAGTCTGTGGAGTGTTTCGAGAGGTGGACATGTAAATTTTTTTTTTTTTTTTTTTTATTTTGGGAGCATCTTAAGTGTTGAAACAAGAAGTTCAGACTGATTGTTGTCACACTTGACTGTCCTTGTTGCATAGAGGGGTACCTTCCTCTACAGTGACTATTAGTTTTAATATGTAACAAATATTACCTCTGCAGTTACAAAATATTCTCAGGTGTTCTTTTAAAAAGATAACAAAAAACAGTAAGATTTTGCCTTTTTCCTCCCATTCTGACATAGGGGAGGAAAAGGGCTGCTGCTTTGCTGCTTCTAGGTTTAACATCAGTTAGCAACGCTGCTCCTAGTGAGTCACTGCAATGAACTGAAGTACAACTCTCTTTTCTTTACAATCTCCAGACTGCATCGAACAGACATTCCTTTCCTATACCAGTGTGAAACTTCCAGATGATCTGTAGCTCTCCGAGGTAATAGGATAGAAGACTACTAAAACCAGAAGATAAATTAGTGAAGATACGGCTTCAAAAACGAATGACAGGATGGTCTGTGTTCAAATACCAGTTCTGGTCATTCTAGTAAATACTTATAATTGCTGCCTTTTGTTTCAGCACATATGTATATGTGCTTATTAAAAAGATAGTACTGAAGTAAGAACAAACCCTGAAATTCCTTGTCACAAACTTGTATTCGCCAATATTTTATCAAATTCAAACCAATATACTGGTTTACTTCAAACTGATATTCCACTTTGAGTCCCCTGTAAATAACTCTGCATTAATGACTGTATGAATTGCTTCTTAGGAAATATGTCAAAATATATTTTGTAACAGCATATTCTCTAAATTTTGTTTAATCTTAGAGCGACATACGTATTTTTTGTTAATTGGCTATTAAGGGTATAGTTGTTACTATTAGCTGTAATTCTGGAGGTGAAGGCATTGAACTGCTTGCATCATCCTAACTTTCCTCACATGAATTATCATTAACTAGTTTGGGCTTGAGCCTGGAAGCTGTTGTTCATATGCATGGTCCCATTAAAAGACAGTTTGTTCACGTTAGCAGGGATGGGCAGCCCTAGATCTTTAGTCCCTGGTTATGCAGTTGGATCCTCGTAGGTGCACCTTTGTTCCTGGAACAGGGTACTGCAAATGTATTCTCTGGGCCATAACACTGACTCAGTTTAAGAAGTCTTGAGTTCAGTTGAAATTCAATATCCACCCTGACAGCTTCTCAAAGATAATTTGTGTGGCTATCTTACAAATCTTGTTTTAGGGTAAATACTTTGCCATTTCCTAAGAACAAACTAATTTCAACGTAATTTCGCAATGATCTGTGAAGGAAGAAAAAAGCAATCTCGCTTTTAAAGCTCTGAAAGTAGAAAATGTGTGTTGCACCTCTCCCAACCTTCATTTAAGGTATACCATTAATTTCTTCCAAATACTATCTCTGTAAGGGGTACTGTCTACTGTTCATGCATGTGTAGTTTCCTTTGAAGTTTATGAAATTTATGTGTCTCCTTAAATGGGAGAATACATCTCTCAGTCCTTTGTACAACTGGAATCTCAGCTGCCAAAATACATGGGTTGTTGGTTGCACCTTTGAGGAAAAAAAAATACAAATACTTTCCTCTGGTTTTTTTCTTTTTATGTTAGAATTCTGCCTTTTTATTACTAACATGAAAAACAGTGAGGTTTATGTTGTTCTAAGCTAGTGCTGTATTCAATTTTGTAATGAAATTACAAAACATTTGTAATGAATGTTTAAAATATACATAGGTAAATCGGTCACATTTATTTTCTTAATCTTTCAGAGACACTTAAAGTGACTAAAACTTTAGGGGCATGTCCACTTCCCAGCTTTTTATGGAAAGAATAAAATAATGTATTATGTTCAATATCGGATCGGGATTTCCTTCTAAACTTATCTGTTTATTTCTATGTTCTTTTGCATTCGTTGTCCATATGAAAAAGAAGCTGATAATAAATCATTGCTTTGTTTTGCTAATTCAGACTTGCATTTTTGGGGAGTTTTTTTGCGTTTCATGTTGGAAAGTGAAAACTGCGCCTTTTGTGTCAAGATGGAATTACAAACAAATTACTTGGCAAAATAGGTACTAACCAGTGCTCTCTACTCCTTTTCATCTCATGTTTTATGGCAACACACTCCTAAGGACATTTCTTTTAATGACTTAATACAACTGTGCAAAATGTACAAATTCATTCATTTTCTATGTTTACCAATATCAACTAGTACTTTTTTCCAGTTATTGTTTGTTTTTCCTGGACTAGCTTAGAAAAATTCTCATTTGAACATAAAGAATACGTAGGGTTAAAAATGTACACATGGTATCTAATCCTCTCTAGTTGATGCAGCAGTTTGGTAGCCTGAAATCTCATCAGCAGGAGGAAGGGAACTGGGACACTGTTTTCAAAGACTCTCCAATCTATTCCAGATGTGTCAAATGCTGCATATTTTCCTTGCTATTTCCTGTGAGCTTGGTTAGGAGCAGCTGGCTCTGTGGTTTAGAGACACCTGGCCAGCTTTGCTTTGTGTCTTGGAGTGGAGGGGGGAGGAGGGGAAGCTCCAGTATCACAGTGGAGTTGACTGTAAACAGATTTTGTATGAATGCAAATAAGGCTTTGAAGTTTGAGGCAAAAACAGCTGGAGGAAGGAAGGTGGCAGGAGAAAATTCCATTTTATTTGAGTAGCTGACATGAGCATAATTTCTTGAGTTTTGTCACCTACTTTTGTTGATGTGGACAGCATGGGAAGATGGACATCTTAAATATGGTTTGAGTACCCAGCAACTGTATGCACATGTTTCAGAAATGATCCCATCACTCATGCTTCCAGTCCTCTTATGCACCAGAGGTTGTCTCCAAGCTCTCACGTGGCTGCCTCACCTAGAGTATGGACACTTGTCCTCATCCTGCAACAACTTTAAACTCAGTTTCAACACCCAACACCTTCATGGGTCTGCTTCCTACCCTTTGAACAATGACAACAGGTGAGGAAAAGTGGTTGTATTAATGTGCTGTCACAACATCAGAAAGGTTTTGATGTCTTTCCCCTTTTTGAGAGTGTTTTCCCATAAGATTCTGCATTAATCCCTCCTGTGTGGTTGCTTGCATTGTTCACTTGGACAAACAGTTCATCTCATGGAATTGCTATTGCTTTGGTGTGGAAAAGAGATTTGTCCAACCTCTGAGATGGAAATAGAGATCTCTAAATAAGGGGCAGGGGGGAAGCTAGTCATGCTAAAACATGATCAGCATATGTGCACAGCTACACAGGAGCAGTGGAGGCTGGTGTATTGTTAGTCCTATGTATGGTGGTTCTCCACCACCCCGAGATCCTTGTCTTTCTCCTTTATACTTGCAAGGATACTTCTACCGTCTGTGTCTTCTCCACTTGGCTTGTCCTTGCCACTTCTATGGCCCTTCTCCTTTCTCTGTGCACTTGCCATGCACCTCACAAGGACAGGCAGAAGGTGTCCTACTGCACGTTGGCTGCGGTTAATAAATAACCCACCTAGCAGTTTCTAACTGGTTTTCTGAACTGCAATGATGTTTTGTATTTTCATATGTCTGTATTTTACAGGTAAGCCAACTTTTTAAAATCAATGACTTCCAGGCAATTGAAAGCAGTTAAAATACGTGACTGCACCATCCACCTGTTGCAAGTGTTGCATGTGCAAGTGGAATTAAAACAGTGGCAGAATTTGTTTTAGATATATTTTCCATCATCTCCTGAAGTAACTATATGATCAACTTTAAGCATTTTGCTGATACGTAATTTCTTGTGTTTTTTTCCCCCCACCCTTCCCAAATGAAAAAAAAAGTCAGCTTTCCAAGTTTTTTTTTTTTTTGTCTATTATATATTCTCTACATATGGAAACTTGTCTGCAGTGAGTCTTAAAAAAAGTATTGGAAACAGCATCAACTCTCCAGCTATTCATTTCATATAAATTTGGGTAAAACAGAAAGGTATACGTTCAAAAAAGTTTAAATGTTTTGATTCTTTTATATTGGAGGATGGTTACAGTTATCCCCATGTTTTTACATCTGTTCTTGTAGCGTTCACTCTTAATTTTTTTTGTGGTCAAAGAGAGGCTGTGTTTCTGGGGATGTCCTTGGTGTGATAGGAGAAGTTGTTCATTGATGCTTCATTTTGCCTGGCTGCATAGATGCCCATCCTTCTTCATTCTCTAGGTTGCTGTAGTCCTGTAACTTCCAAATGCCCAGTTTCACGTGGAACAGGCTGCTGCTGTGCTGCTATAAATTCTTTATTAGTAAAATAACTGTAAAGCAAGCTTCACTTGCATATGTTGATGAATTGAGTCCTGTCACTTAACATAATTGCAGTAGCAGTGCTGGTCAGTCTGCCGGTGCTGCTGCTGCAGGTAGCTGGTGAGAGCTCACGCCTGGAGTCTGTGCTCTTGGGTGTGTTTCTCCCATCAGTAATGACCAGGCATTTCAGTGAAACCTGCAGGTCTTACTGGTGGAAGTGTTATTAGAATGAAGCCAATGTTAATTGTGTAATTAGTCACATGAATACCTGTAGGACCATTGGCTGGCTCTTCTTTGAGTCTCTAACTGACTTTTAATTAACAAATTAATTTGACAATATCTCTTGCAACTTCTGTAGAAAGTCTTTATATGGATTTTCCTCTTAAAGGATGATGAGTTGTTTTTGATTAATCAAATTTACCTCTGTACCTCTCAGAACAAGGGACTTCTGAAGACGGCTCTACCAGTTCACTTCTCTGTATACACAGAACAATGGAAATCCCTTCTGCAGATTAAGTTGATAAGGTAAATCCTATTTCTACCTGAAATGTGAATCAGATCCCCCAAAAAGCTGTTGATTTGAGGATAGTCTGACGCTGTGGTTAAGCAAAACCAGGAATTTCTATTGTAAATAATTATCAGCAGTGTCACTGTGTTGTGGATTCTCAAGTGTTGCTATTTTTTTCCCAGAGAAGTCAAAGGGTTTTATTTTGGGGCGGTTGGATTTTTGTGGAGGAAACTTGCAACACTTACTGCAGGTCTGCTGGTGTTCATCACAACATGGGCATATGTTAAATGCAGGAAACGCCGACAGCATAACCCTCTGGTTAGAAAAAAAAACTTTTAAGTGTATTCATTCAGGAGACTTAAATGTTTCTGATTCTGACTGAAAGCTGATGTGAGATGTTGGATTTGGCAGGTTATGTATGGCTTGGCTTGGGTCTTTGCCCAATTTCTCCTTCATAAGGATGGTGAGTGTGGCTGTGCAGGGTGCTCTGGGTACACCACAGGTTGGAGCTGAGGTTGTGTGTTAAGCAAAGAGTCACAGGGAGCAAGAGAAAGGAGAAGGAGGAGGAGTGCTTGGACCTTTAACTCTGGATCTGCAACAGACGACATAGCAGGTGTTTCTGGTAAGATGGTGGGAGCAAATCCTAGTCTAGTCCTCATTTCCTCCCCTACTGACCAACCACTTTGTCTACCCACATAATCTGTGAAATGGGCCCTCAGGTTTCCTTTCCTTCCTGGGGAAACTGGAATAGCAAACCATCCTCCACTTGGACAGGGAGAAGGCAGTCCCGTCTGGCTAGCTGTGAAGGCATTTGGCTGGCAGTTGTTAGCCTGGCAGGCCCCAGGGGAAATGCCTCTGGCTGT